GACCAATGCATATTAGGATTGGACTATTTACTACCGAGGAAGTGTGTAGTTAACTTCGATAAAATGACGTTTGGAAACAACAAAGGCCAGATTCCAGTAAGTGTTGCTGCATCCGTTGAACTGCATGTCACAGCACTTAATTTGGGGTAGGATAAAAGAACATCCCCAAGGAAGCCCAATGCTTGTGGAAGTAGTGGAAGACCCATCCAGGCCAGCAGATTTGAAGATTGGGAGATCCTGTAAAATTAAGAGACTTTGTTGAATTTTAATTTTGTGTTTGTAAATTCTGTACATTTAATTAAGTTATTGTCTATTGTTTATTGGTTTAATGTAAGTGGCTATTGTTTGGGACGAACAATACTAAGGAAGGGGCAGTGTTACGACAGCGGAAGTCACGTGACACATCATGAACTTCTAGAACGTTCACGTTCCTTCCTGAAGTCTCGGGAGTTTACTAGATTTCGGTATTCTTGTACATATAAGACGGCCAAGACGTGACGGCAACAATGAGTAATTGAACTGCGGACAGAGATAGAGACGTATTGTTGAGTCGAGCACGTGAGATGTTCGTTGTGAATTATAGCGTTTGTTATAGCGCGACTGTGGAAATTAAGTGTATTGCAAAGTTGTATTCAGAAAGAATAAACCAGTTTTATTTAAGAAAGGACTTGTGTCGCTAAAGTTTCATCAGAAAGAAATTATACGGAAAACAAACTAACGAACGGAGGAGTAATAACATATTCTGCATATTCACTAACTCAGTGCACAGAGAAATGTCATTGAATAAAGTATTTTTCACACGTGATCACTACCGTTAGTCCGCGGAATAACCATCGATCCACGTTATACCCATACAGTGATAATTCTGCTTTTTTCGTAACGTATAATGTGCGCTTACGATCAATGCATTGCGGCAGTGTTACGTAATAATATCGCAATCAAGTTTTTACGGAACTAAATAAACTGAGATTGTAGTGGTAGTAGCATTATTTAATTTCTTGGAAGTCAGAGGAATGGGTAAGGCTATATTCGAGAGAAAAAGTAAGTTTTATTTCTAATTACTTTAACCATGCTTGCTCTAATACTAGTAATACTAATAGTCTACACTCCGGTTATAAAATAATATCAATACCACATAACACTTAAGACTAACCCACTAAGTTAAACACTGCAGTAGCAACTTTTAAATTAAAATAACCAAAGCTTTTATATTAAAAATAATATCGGAAAGTTACCTTAGTTGGATCACATTTTCGTTAGTATTGTTAATACACGTTGTGTCTTCGATAGAAATTTGTTATCATTGTATTAATGCATTTTGGATTGTGGAATATCGGTGTGAGAAATAGTTATAAACATAGGCTAAGATATAATATTAAAAGCAAAAATCAGTGCTTTTTTGTGAAAGTTGGATAGTATTAGTACAACTGCTGGAATTAATTTGGATTGTTTTTTTATATTTTTGTTGTTATTCACTTATTGACATTTCCATAAGTTTTTATGTATTTTGTGTCCACATTCATTGTTAGTGTTATAACTTATTATTTATATATAATACAGTTGACATTCAAACGTTAGTTTTAGGAACAGTTACCTAATGATTAAAATCTCACACTTGTTAATCCCATTATTCATTGGTAAAAGAGTAGCCCAAGAGTTGGCAGTGGGTGGTGTTGACTAACTGCCTTCCCTCTAGTCTATTACTACTAAATTAGGGAAGGCTAGTGCAAATAACACTGATGTAGCTTTGAGTAAAATTCAAAACAAACCAATTTGAAATTATTTTTTCTGTTTAGATCTTTGAATGGAAAGTGAACTGAGGGTGTCATCATGAATTCTACACCTTCTAAAGCTGAACCAATTTCCTTTCGTAAATTGGGAATGCCAGCATGGATGACTCAAAGACTCGATAAACTACATGTTTCTACTGATCTTGAGAAGTATGGTTCTTCACCACCAACTAGTGACACTGACTTCTTTTGGGATGTAGAAAAGAAGAAAGAGAGTTTTATTGTGACACCATCTTTAACAGGTACAAATAATGCATATTTTTTTCCTTTATTCTTAAGTTAGAAAATTATAACTTTTTGTGTGTGTGTGTGTGTGATTAATAATATTTTATGTTACTAGTTTCATGTGTAATATATTTCTCTATATTAAATTACTGAGACATGTATTATCTTAAAAAGTTAACCATATTGTGCAAATACAGAGTTTAAGAAGTGTGAATAATAATAATAATAAATGAGAAAGCAGCTTTTGTTATAGAATACTTTGTTTATTTGACAGTTTCTTGTACATTCATACTTAGTGGAGAACTCAAAATTTAGATAACTATACATTATTTTAGGTCATCTGTGATCTAAAATCTTGTTTTTATTTTATTTTTTAAACCGAATATTAAGAAAAGACTGTCTTTTTAGCATTTTAGTATTTTCATTTAAAACAGTGATGCCTATGAACTAACTCATGATGAGATTACCAAATTTTTTAGATGAATCTTTAAGTGTAATAATTATTTCATTAGTAAGAAAGTATCATTTAACCATAACTTGCATACAGTTGTAGCAGGTTAGTGTCAGTTATCCTTTTCACAAGGTTATATTTTTTTAATAGCTATTACTTTTTAGTTAAATAGAATCCAAAGAAAGAAGAAAGTGATTTTTAGAGCATTTTCTTCAATTTAAAAGACAACATTAATGTTTTAAATATAAAGGCCACACTTTTCCCTTTTTTTATAAAATAAGTTTAAGAAAGGAGAAATATATTCTATGTTAGTATTGTATTCTTTTGTGCAAAACTTTTTCTTTACACCAAGAGTAAGTATAGTGGTTTTTCATGTTCATCCACATTTGACTGATTGGAAGATACAAACATTTTAACCATGTGTAAAATTGATAATGTCAGAAAAAGCTGCATACAAATTCATCACATTCTACTTACGATATGAAATGTTGCATTTCATAAAATAGTATAGCAACGTAACCTGACATTAAAATCAATAAATCATAAATGCTATTCCTTTTTGTTCAGTACAAAACAAAAACTAATATATTAATTTATGATATTTTGATTTTTCAAACATAGCATTTATGTTTAATTTAAACAATTATTTGATCATTAGTCAATCAACAGAAAAATCCTTGATTATAAAAGTTTGTGTTTAACAATAAAAGTACATATTGCATGCAAAACTTATCAGTAGTATGCAACTAATGCTCTGGTCTCGCATATCAATTTGTTTATGGAATTCAACTTTTCAGTATGTCTTTGAGCCAATTTAAAGGATTAAACAAAATGGCAGAAAGAGTGATGAAAGATTAAAAACATTTTAAATGATGAAAATGTACACTAGAAGCAGTTGTTATCTATAACCTTCTGAAAGAAGTGGCAAACACTAGAGCAGATGCCTAAAGTCATGTTAGATCAGGTCGTGTATCATCAACACAGCAAAGTATAGCCAATTTCATAATATGTCTGAGCTGAGAGACAATGACAAACACAGTTACTTTAGATGTCTAAGAATTAATGTGGACCAGTTTTCAACATTTAGTGGGACATGCTGTCCCATATCATTCAGGAACAAGATCAAGGGTTAGGAAGGCTTTGCCTACAGCAGAGAAACTGGCAATAACTGTAAGACTCATAGTCACAATTGAGTATATCTATTTGTTAAAAACATAAAATTACAAAAGGAAGCGATTTGAATTCTCACTTTTCAGAGCAAGGCTATACATCAGACGATTGGTATCTATTCATTGGTTGAAACCAGAGGCGACTCATTAGTGAAGTCATTCAGAATAGGACAGAGCTCTGTTTTGTTTGATTTGAAGACTGATTTTATAATCGAATCATTTACAGAGTCATTTTCCTGGTGTTATTCAACAATCTGTATAAATGATTGAAAGCTTTGTCAAATTTTGCAAAAAATCAATACAAGACATAGGCTTAAGGGAAACAAGAATGTTGTTTAATGGAAGTTTTTTTTGTTTTTTTTAATAAGATTACTAATAAGTAAGAGAGACATTGTAATTAATGCTGAGTTTTGTAATTAATGTATAAATTAGAATTCATCAATTTTCCATGTTACAGAATCCAGGGGACATTCTACAGATCTGCTTGCCAAAGATAACCTCCAGCTATCTTCATCTAAAGTACAGCATATGGTCAATATTTCTAAAGAACCTCCCAAGCTGGTTCCATCAATGTCAGCTCCAGTCTTGAAGGTACCCACTGTGGAAGAGAAACTAAATCACTCCCAGTCTAGCACTTCAGCAGAATCCACCCCCAATGTAACACCATGCAGCTCACCCTTGATATTTCGTAAAGTAAAAGAGAGTGGATTACAAGCCAATCCTGAATTGTCCTCTGACCAAAACTGGAATCCAAAATGGTTGTCATGCACTTTCAATAGCCATGGTAAAAATACAGCTTCTTACAGTTCCAATTTGTCACCAGTTAAAGAGGCACTAGATGGATCTATTCTCCCAAAGAAAGACACTTCACAAGTGGAGAATCCAGTATGTGACATGCACATACACAAAATCCCTGCTTCGTCTCTGAAAAAGAAGAAAATTTCATTTTCTAATTCTGATATTAATATAGTAAGCCCTAGTTCCTGGTAAACCACATCCGGCCTCTGGAAAGTAGTTTGTTACATTCATTAAAGCCATTTTTATGAAATTGACAAGTATATTAGAGTTCTTCAGGTAAATGAAACATGCAAAAGTAAATCCAGGTACTGACAACAATATTAAAAATTTTGTTTCATGTTAAAGAAAAAAAATATGCTTTTATTTTTAGAGATGAATACTGTTCTTGTTGTAGTCTTAGAAAAAGTCAGTACTTGTAATGTTTTTCAAAGAACAAGTATATATTCTATTTATATATTAATTTCTTTGTATAATGTTTTCCATATGTTGAAATGGAAAACTGGATTTTGTGACAATTTGAGAGAAAAAATTAAAATTATTTTAACTTTTTTTTTTCATTACAGAAGTTAAAATTAGCTGCATTTTTTGTGTTATTTAAGATATGTTTTCTTATTTCTTAATGTATGATGAAATGTTAACTTATAAATGTAGGACCATAGTCTATCTTATTGTTTCAAAGTTCCAAATTTTACAGATCAGTCTGTCTGTTTACATTTGTTCACGTTTCCTAAAATTTTTTTGTAATAGTCTAAGAAATACATATCTCTCTGAAAACCTTATAATTTTAGTTGAATTTAATGTCAGCTATGTGATGATATTTAATAGTCCCTTTACTGTTAGTCTCTAGTTTATACAAAAATAGGCATGTTGCTGAGAATTACACATGCAGAAAATATTAATACATGTTGCTAAGAGTTGTACATGTAGAGAACATTAGGATATCTTGTGATAGAATGTCTATGTATGTTATGTAGCTTGTTATTGTAATCTAAAATCTAGTGTACTTGTATATGTTTGAAAACTGATCAGTTAATTAAGTTATTAAAATTAAATATTCTTCACAATCAACCAGGGTCCATAATAATAAATTTGTTTTTTGTGAAAAGACTACTTGTTATAAATATAGAAAAATTTGCTGAATTAAATATTTTATTGCCTTTGAAAGTCAGCAGTGGGAGACCTGAAACTAAAAGTATGCATTTATTTATTTTTAAACATTTAAATGCCAAAATTATAATTCATTTGAAAAGGGTAGTTGCCTCAAAATTTCAAGGTGCAATTGAGTGAAAAGATTAGATTTTTTTTACAAAATTCAGGAACCTGTAACAATTCTACTATTTGACTTTAGCATGAAAATGCTGAAAACAAATTGAGTTAATAGGATGAAAATATTAAAATCGTCTTATTGACAGTACACAGTATCGTTATATCTTGTGTCTTCTTATTGACAGTACACAGTATCGTAAGTCTTGTGTCTTCATATTGAC